CAATAGACACAGGACAGAACAGAGTTTAGGGCTGTTGTACATAGGGTTGCTATGAGTCGCAAGCGACTCAGTGGCACATAACAACAACAACAAATGTGAACCTTTACTTTGGGTATATATTTTTTTAAAATTTTTTTTTATTATTCTTTTTTTGTGTGTACCGTCAAATCAGATCTGATTGGTACAGGAGGAGATTGTCCCTCCTTCTCCAGCAGAGGATCTGGTGAATTTGAACCACGCACCTCCAGGATTGCAGTGCAGCTTCTTGCCACTAGGCCACCAGAGCTCACTTACTTTGGGTGTATTTTTGGGAAGAACTGTGGTAAGAGACACCATGGTGTTAACAGCAGAGGGTCAGCAAAAGAGGGGAAGACCCTCCACGAGATGAGGTGACCCGGTGACCCAAGCCCACGGCCACGGCCACGTGGGTTTGGGCAGGACAGAGGTGGTGAGGCTCGTCCAAGGTTCAGAGGGTCACTGCAGGTTACACGTGGCCCTGGGGCAGCTAACAGAAACAACAGCTGGGAACCCTGGGGGCACCGTGGTAAAGTGCTTGTCTAGATCCCCAGAGGTCCCAGGTTCAAACCTATCAGCTACAGAAAGATGAAGCAGTTTGCATCCTAAAGTCACAGCATTGCAAACACCTCTGGGGCTGTTCTTTTCCATCGGACAGGGTTGCAGTGTGTCAGAATCACTACCAGCTATGGGCTGGTGGATTTCCTTGGCTTATGGCACAACCCGAAATCGGGACAGATGGGTCCCCCGTCTTTATTCTTTAGCTCTTGATCCTTCGGGCCTCATGGCAGTCCGTGGGGTTTCCATTTAGTACAGAAGGCAGTGGCAATGTGGGAGGGGGAAGTGGGCCTGCAGCGTGACCAGCTTACCTGTGGAATTGTCTTCTGATCCATCAACACAGCGGGTCTCTCCGCCGGCCACCGCTGGCCTGCCTCTCCTTCTGCCGGGGCTTTGCAGTCCCCATTGTCTGAGCTGTCACCTCCCCCTGGTTCGCTTTGTCCCCCAGCGCGGGGTTCTCTTTAAGGCGCCTGTAAACCGAGTTGTTTCCTGAATCCCCTTTTCAGGTTTCTCCTGCTGGTGCACAGATGCCCCGCTGGCCGACTCTAGCAGCTGGCCTTGTCCCCGCCACGTTGTCCGATTTCTCTGTCGCCTCTGGTAGACATCCGGGGGTGTGTGTGTGTGGGGGGTGTGTGTGTGTGTTTTCTCTATAGGTCAATGTCACCTGTGACTAGGGCTCCTTTGACAACTTCCTTTCTCATTGGAGTCCTGTTTATCATCTTGTTCCTTTTTGCTCAGGCTGAAGGACCACCTGTCATGTGGATGTGTGTGGACGGGCAGACGAGGCCAGCGGGGCTGGGAGGGGACTGTGGGGACAGGGGCTAGGGGAGGGTCCAGAGGAGGGAGACCATGGTGACGGCCAGAGAGAGACCCTCCGGGGACGTGGAGAAGGGGGCAAACAGGGCAAGAGGCAGGAGATGTGGAGGCTGGCAGCCCTGAAGGGTCACGGGGACAGGGACGGGACCTCCTGGTGACTGGGCCTCGGGCAGGGCCAGCACTCAGCACAGGCCAGACAGCCTTGCCACCTCCCCCTTCCACAGGTCTTCTCGCTGGTGGTCTTCTCCTCACTGCTCACCGACGGCTACCAGAACAAGACGGACTCCCCGAAGCTCTACTGTGTCCTCAACAGCAACACCCTGGCCTGTAACTTCGCCGTGGGCGCCGGCCTGCTGGCCTTCCTCTGCTGCCTGGCCTTCCTCGTGCTCGACGCCCACGAGGGCCGCATCGCCAGCTCCCGCTTCAAGACCGCCTTCCAGCTCCTCGACTTCATCCTGGCGGGTGAGCCCTGAGGTCCACTCGGACCCCACGCTCTTCTCTGCTCTTCCCACCCGCAGGCCTCGGGTCTCATGGTCCCCAGAAGGCAGCGTTCCAAGGCTGCATCTCTTCCCGCCGCACCTCTCGCCCTTCAGACACAACACAAGGGTCCCCTCCTCTGACCCCCAGGGCTAGTTCTAGAAGCTTCTCTCTCACTCCATCCCCTGAGGCCCTGGGGGGCACCAAGTGTTATAGACTCTCAATTACTGTCAATTTAAACTTAACAGAGGTGTCTCAGGAGCTCTGGTGGTACAATCCTTTACATATTCAGCTCATAACAGAAAGGTCAGTGGTTCGAGAGCCTCAGAAACCCCACAGAGGATCCTGCGGGGTGCCGTCAGTACAGGCACCTTAAAAGACACGCGGCCAAGGGAGCTCTGGTGGCCTAGTGGTAAGAAGCTTCACTGCCATCCCGGAAGAACACAGTTCAAATCCACCAGATGCTCTGCTGGTGAAGGAGGGACAATCTCCTTCTGTACCAGTCAGATCTGATTTGACGGTACACACACAAAAAATAATAAAATAAAAAATAAAAAAAAGACACCTGGCCATCCACATCCTGCCGTGGTCCCGCTCGTTGAAAACCAGCGCGGAGCCCTTCTACGTGGGGTTATTAGGAGTTGAAGTGGCAACTGGCCCTGGTTCTTGAGTCTCCTCTGCTCTCTCCTCGCATTTCCCCACCGTCTCCATCCACCAGTTCTTACAGGGCCACGGGCAGCCGGAAGTGAAGGGCAGGAGCCCAGTCTGCAAGGGCGGGACTAGAGGTCGTTAGTTTGAACCGTCAGCTGCCCTGAGGGAGCAGAACCCGGCCCTCTGCTCCTGTCAAGGCCGCTGCCAAGGATACCCCAGGGTGGTTCTAGTCTGTCCTGCAAGGTCGGTGGGAGGTGGGAGTCGGACTCCCAGCCGCCCAGGGACCCACGCCTGCTTGTTCTTCCTCTGTGTCTCTCTCAGTCAATCTTAATCTATGCCTAACACTGAAGAATGGGAATCCCGTAACACTAAATTGTGCTCAAAGGAAATCTATACCTAGACCAAGAAGTTGATGTCCGAACAGGGCAAGGGAACACTGCGTGTTTTAAAACCAGGGAAGCCGTGTGTTAGGGCTGTACCGTTCATCCAATACCTATTCACTCAGAATGTTGAGTAAATCATTTGAAAAACTGGACTCGAAGAAGAAAAATGCGGCCTCAGGATTGGAGGAAGACTCATCAACAACCACGGGGTCAGTGGCACGACCTGCTCAGGCCTCGGGTGCGTCCTCGGTGAAACGGACATCAGGGC